TTAATTGCTTTCAGGACGAACAGTGAGGTGAAACGGACACAGGCATCGAACGAATATTGAGTTCTTTGCTTTTATACGTTGGAATCGACAGTTATCGCCCAAACATACATTCATGCATCCTCAGGTGCTCGACTTGCTTGGCTTGTAATGTTCTAGCGGACCTGGACGGACTTCCACACACTACAGGAATTTATCAGCGCCTCTCGAACCATCCATATATACTTCAAGGACTCTGATATATGACATACGACGTAGGAAAAACATTCAGTCCTCCTATTGAAATATAACGTTCACTTCACAAATCATTTATTCTTCTCAGGCGTTCATTCACGCGTCCTCTCTCAGTCAGGGCAGAACTTCAAACTCCCTTTACCTCAGTCTTTCGGTTCCACGTCTTCCGTTCACGTCTGTCTCATGCTTTTCTTGTGTCTCTCACTTCGTTTACCATGAGACACACGACGACTCACTTCTCCCCGTTTTTCTCTTCTCTCACGGGTCCCTCCGACCTTTTTCTCCCCCATCGGGAACTCTCTGGGTTTCCCCGGGAATTCACAACATTACAAGATAGATAGATAGATAGATAGATACGATAGATAGATAGATAGATAGATAGATAGATAGATAGATAGATAGATAGATAGATAGATAGATAGATAGATAGATCGAAGATAGATAGATAGATAGATAGATCGATAGACTCGATAGATAGATAGATAGATGATAGATAGATAGATAGATAGATAGGATAGATAGATAGATAGGATAGATAGATAGATGATAGATAGATAGATAGATAGATAGAATAGATAGAATAGATAGATAGATAGATAGATAGATAGATAGATAGATAGATAGATAGATTAGATAGATAGATAGATAGATAGATAGATAGATAGATAGATAGATAGATGATAGATAGATAGATAGATAGATAGATAGATAGATAGATAGATAGATAGATAGATAGAAGATAGATAGATAGATAGATAGATAGATAGATAGATAGATAGATAGATAGATAGATAGATAGATAGATAGAAACAAGTAGAAGTTATTAGGGATAGCAAGATGAGAAGCTTGATTGGGCATACCAGTCGACAAGCCTCTTGGTTGTGATAAAGGTGGTGGTTATGATTCTGCTGCTGATGATGTTGATAATCATGTTGATGAAAATGATGATGATGATGACCAATCGTTATTCAAAACCGTCCAAACTAAATTACAGGTTTTGAGGTGCCCTACTTTATTATATAGCTATACGGTTAAACGGATTACAGGGTCTTGTCGCTGTTTGATTCTTTTCCTTGAGATTTTAATCCTACGGAACGTAAATCTGGCGGGAGGGGGGAGGGGGGGGGGGGGTGAACTTTAAGAAGAAGAAGAAGGAAGAGAAAAGGAAAAGAAGAAGAAGAAGAAGAAGAAGAAGAAGAAAGAAGAAGAAGAAGAAGAAGAAGAGAAGAAGAAGAAGAAGAAGAAGAAGAAGAAGAAGAGGAAGAAGAAAAAAGAAGAAGAAGAAGAAGAAGAAAAAAAGTAGAAAAAGAAGAAGAAGAAGAAGACGAAGAAGAAGAAGAAGAAGAAGAAGAAGAAGAAAGAAGAAGAAGAAGAAGAAGAAGAAGAAGAAGAAGAAAAAAGAAGAAGAAGAAGAAGAAGAAGAAGAAGAAGAAGAAGAAGAAGAAGAAGAAGAAGAAAAGAAGTAGAAGGAGAAGAAGTAGTAGTAGTAGTAGTAGTAGTAGTAGTAGTAGTAGTAGTAGTAGTAGTAGTAGTAGTAGTAGTAGTAGTAGTAGTAGTAGTAGTAGTAGTAGTAGTAGTAGTAGTAGTAGTAGTAGTAGTAGTAGTAGTAGTAGTAGTAGTAGTGTAGTGGTTAGTAGTAGTAGTAGTAGTAGTAGTAGTAGTAGTAGTAGTAGTAGTAGTAGTAGTAGTAGTAGTAGTAGTAGTAGTAGTAGTAGTAGTAGTAGTAGTAGTAGTAGAAGAAGAAGTAGTAGCAGTAATGTTAGTTGTAGTAGTGGTGGTGGTTGTGGCGGCGGCAGTGATAGTAGTAGTAGTAGTGCTAGTAGTAGTAATGGTAATAGTAGTAGTAGTAGTAGTAGTAGTAGTAGTAGTAGTAGTAGTAGTAGTAGTAGTAGTAGTAGTGGTGGTGGTGGTGGTTGTGGCGGCGGCAGTAGTAGTAGTAGTAGTAGTGCTCGTAGTAGTAATGGTAATAGTAGTGGTAGTAGCAGTAGTAGTAGTAGTAGTAGTAGTAGTAGTAGTAGTAGTAGTAGTAGTAGTAGTAGTAGTAGTAGTAGTAGTAGTAGTAGTAGTAGTAGTAGTAGTAGTAGTAGTAGTAGTAGTAGTAGTAGTAGTAGTAGTAGTAGTAGTAGTAGTAGTAGTGGTAGTAGTAGTAGTTGATGTACAATAATTGTATGAAAACCCATTCTTACATTCACACAGGGGGCATTTTGGGGCCTGATCATAAGTACAGCAGTTGGACTGTGCCGAATGATCCTGGAGTTCGTCTATTCAGCGCCACCCTGTGGCAGCATGGAGGTGGATGAGAGACCCGCTGTCCTCAAGGATGTTCATTTTCTGCACTTCGCGATGATCTCCTCAGGCGTGTCTATTATCAGTACAGTGGCTATCTCTCTGTTGACCCCGCCTCGACCTCAAGAAAAGGTATTATAAAGGGTGTTAGCAAAGTCTCACCACACTTTTTATGTAGAACAAATGCGAACTACTAAGTTCTTGGCGTTATCAAAAATCCTCCAGAAAAGGTATTATATAGGGTATTGGTAAAGTCTCACCACTTTTTATGTAAAACAAATGCGAACTACTAAGTACTTGGCGTCATCAAAAATGTGTTTTACAGTCAATCGAGAAGCAATATGCAATGAATGGCTGTTGTCTCAAAACAGAATGGTGTTTTGAGTGGAAACAATCAGAATAACCATAAATGAAAAAACAATACACACGTTGCAGAAGGTATTTGGCAATATGACGAGATGAGTGCTGTCATGTCTGGAAGCCCGCGGTGTACAATTCCGCCGATTATAATAAACATTTTACTAGTATTTTCAAACTTGCACAAAACAGTCCTTGAACATATGATTGACTACTTTAATTAATGAATATAATGACCCTTTAAGCACATTTTAAACAATATAATGTACTTTTTTTTTTTTTTTTTTTTTCAAATTTGTTCTGCATACAAAAGGTAGCGAAATTTTAAAAACACCCTGTATTACAGTACTAACAACAGAGACGTATTAATAATAATACACCTATTAAGCACGAATTTTTAACACGAATCTGGATTTTTCGGTCCCTTAGAATTCGATCTCACTGTATATGTTTAGTTGTTGGAATTATATTAGGCTGCCTTTGTACATGACAATGTAGCCCCACACAAATCTTCGGAGTAAGGGGACGAGGAACTCAAGAGGCATAAGCCTGGTTTAAGTGTGTAATAATAATAATAATAGTAATAATAATAATAAAGAAATGCTGGAATGACAAATAATTATAAAAGTTAATTTGAAATAATTTGAAACGCATAAACAAATTAAATTCTTCAGAAGAAAAACTTTTATACAAGATTTAGGCGGTGGGAAAAGGTGTGAGTGTGTGTGTGTATGTGTGTGTGTATGTGTGTGTGTGTGGGGGGGGGGGGTACTTTAGCGTTTCTATAAAGTTTCTATTTGTATTAGAGCCCTAACCCTCCACTACGATATTTTAAGTAAGCCTCACGGGGCCTCAGACCCCAGATTTTGATTACCCTGTTTATACTTGTCCCATTTAGTGTGATGTTGCATTTCTCAAGCTTTCACTTTTCTATTCTTGTTGCCAGCTTCGAAAGGTCACCTGGTGGACGCGCCACGATGACCTGGATCCGGAAGAGACAGAATCAGAAGATGATTTTGCTGTAGAAGAAGTTGATGATATCGCCAGGGCTAAAAGTACGTCAGTTTCCTTTGTCTGCATTTTTTTTTTTAAAAATCCTTCACAATAAAACCACTCACTAATAAATTACAAATATTCATTAACTGTATCAGCGAAGAAAAAAGCGTGGTGTGATAAAGTCCCGACTGTGGACCTTTGGGAGAGAACTAAACACATTTCAGTAACATAAGAGGGGGGGGGGGGGGGGGGGGGGGAAAGACGCTGGCGTTGGATAGAACACATGTTGAGAAAACCTGAGAACACTATCTCTAGAAGGGCTTTAACCTGGAGCCGGAGGAAAGTTCTAGTTGTTCGTTCACTTCTGAAACTTTGGCCGTGTTCCATGTCTTGCGTTTTGCGTGCACGTCCGTTTTGAAGTTTTAACTTAGTTGTGTGCTGTTAGTTCCTCGCTTCTCAGACAGATGCACTTCGATTTCAAAGAAAAACCTAATTAATCGCCTTTAAGAGATGTTCATTTAACTCTAAAGCCCAGAGCAAGCGGCCTTAAATGTCTCTACCTCCATCCCCAACTGGGCAAACAAAGATGACGAATGCCATTCAGTGAATAATGAGCCTGTTTATCATCATCATCATTACTATCGTCGTCGTCAATATCATTACCATTATCATCACTATCATCATCTTCGTCATCATCATCATCACTATCATCATTATCGTCATCATGATTTTTATTAAACATCATCATCAACACCATCGTTGTTGTCATCATCACTATCATCGTTATCGTCATGATAATTGTTATTAAACATCATCATCAACACCATCGTTGTTGTCATCATCATCATCATCAGGTATTTACCATTTATATGCCGCATTGATATATTTCTCCGTTCCATTCCATTTAATCTTTATGATATCGTGGATGGAATTTAATCCAGCTTCCTTATCCTTTCCAAGAGCATATTTACAACTATTTTACTTCCTACCAGGAATTATACGACGAAAGAAGAAATGTCGCAGGATATACAACTGGATGTGCGGAATCAACGAGAACCCCGTGCCAAAACTGACTCAAGAGGAAAAGATACTCATCAAGAAGAAAATGACAGACATTCGGGAAGATAAAACAACCAAGTCTATTACAACAGCAGCTGCCATTGTTGTTGCAGCAATGACAACATTTTTGCTAGGATATTTTAACTGATTATTTAGGTTTCCTTTTTTTCTTTAAATTATTCCCTGTGAGAGGATATGCTGAAGAAAGCCACCAATTTGACCATCTTAAACAGAGGAAGAAATGTTACCATCAGGCAGATTGTGGAAACATCTTGCACCAAAATCATCGCGAAGCAGACGATCAAATAGGGTTTGGTCATCTCGTTAGAACACAGCGCCACAACTATGAATGCTTTACCCCAACAACAACAAAATATGTCGTGAGAGGAAGAGCCCACGTTCTAGATATGGACTGATGCTACTATAGATTTCATACATCTGCTACTTAGGTCCCTTGAGGTGCCCCCCCCCCTCCTCCCCCACACCACAACCCCCCAACCCCCCCCAAAAAAAAGTTCAGTAGTTCTGTGTGAGCATGTACAGAAATTCTCTTTAAATGTATTTCTTTATACTTATAATTTAAAATATATTTAATTGTCAATCAGCACATTATTATTATTATTATTAGTACATTATTATTAGCACATTATTATTATGAACACACAATTATAGTTATTATGCTTCTAAACTAAGATAGGATCCTTGAGAGGCTCTCCTCATCATGGTTCAGACAAACACAGATATCATTATGATGTTTTTAAAATGGCCGCCCAATTTTCATTGAAAGCCCCATCATATATTATGGCAGTTTGCTTCAGATTAGCTGTGAGAAGGAAGTCCTACCACCTGATGGCTAATTATTTCATCATTCATGATGGTGGAGTGGTTAGCTGGTGAGATTTCCTTTTTTTCTTTAAATTATTCCCTGTGAGAGGATATGCTGAAGAAAGCCACCAATTTGACCATCTTAAACAGAGGAAGAAATGTTACCATCAGGCAGATTGTGGAAACATCTTGCACCAAAATCATCGCGAAGCAGACGATCAAATAGGGTTTGGTCATCTCGTTAGAACACAGCGCCACAACTATGAATGCTTTACCCCAACAACAACAAAATATGTCGTGAGAGGAAGAGCCCACGTTCTAGATATGGACTGATGCTACTATAGATTTCATACATCTGCTACTTAGGTCCCTGAGGTGCCCCCCCCCCCCCTCCCCCCCACCCACACACCCCCCAACCCCTCCCCCCCCCCCCCCCCCCCAAAAAAAAAGTTCAGTAGTTCTGTGTGAGCATGTACAGAAATTCTCTTTAAATGTATTTCTTTATACTTATAATTTAAAATATATTTAATTGTCAATCAGCACATTATTATTATTATTAGTACATTATTATTAGCACATTATTATTATGAACACACAATTATAGTTATTATGCTTCTAAACTAAGATAGGATCCTTGAGAGGCTCTCCTCATCATAGTTCAGACAAACACAGATATCATTATGATGTTTTTAAAATGGCCGCCCAATTTTCATTGAAAGCCCCATCATATATTATGGCAGTTTGCTTCAGATTAGCTGTGAGAAGGAAGTCCTACCACCTGATGGCTAATTATTTCATCATTCATGATGGTGGAGTGGTTAGCTGGTGAGATCCACCCCCCCCCCCCCAGATACGGGATTATTGTTCCCCAGCCAGTATGACTACGTGGTTGACATGGCTTCATAGAATTGGGAATAATTTTAGTGCATTTCTGGGAATTGTCTGGGAAGGTAAGACAACGAGGAAGGAAGGAATGTGGCTGCTCTACCTTGTATTTCATAACCTAGAATATAAGATTTCTTTCTGCAATGACATTACAATTCCATGTTAAGCAGCAGCAGCAAGGAAATCAAATTGAGAATTTTGAGAGCCTGCATCTTTCCCTGTAGATGGATGTGAGTCATGGACCATCTCACAGTCATCAAGGAAGAAAATAAGAGTTTTTGGCTCTCCTTGCAGATCCGGACGAGGGTTGGACGACTAAGTTTAGTTAAGTGGGAGTTCTCTCCCTTAGCCGCACTCGAAACAGTGAGCGGAAAAGTCACGAAACAAATGACATACTTACCTATCATCATACGGTTGCGTGTAAGGTTGCGTACGGTTGCTGTTAGGGTTGCGTAGTCATCATACGGTTGCACGAAGGGTTGCGTAGTCATCATACGGTTGCGCGAAGGGTTGCCTAGTCATCATACGGCTGCGTGTAGGGTTATACCTATCATCATACGGTTGCGTATAGGGCTGCGTACGGCGTGGGTTCGGGATTAGGGTTAGGGTTTAGGGGTAGGGGTAGGGGTAGGGTAGGGTTAGGGTTAGGGTTAGGGTTAGTGGTTAGGGTTAGGGGTAGGCTTTGATGTGACAATATTGACGTAGGAGTTCCAAATACTGGCCGACAATCTGATGCTTGTGGGAGTGGCGCCACTGGAAGTATGTCAAATATGACCGCAATAGCGCGCAGCTGGTGCCCAACCGGTGGCGACGTGTCCGTGTCAGTAGCATTCACAGTCCGTCGACTGTTTGGGTGTGTATGTGACAGTGCGCGATTATTGGGAATTCCTGCATCGTCAAAATTGTCACATCTAACGCTAAACCTAACGCTAAACCTAACCCCTAACCCTACCACTAACCCTACCCCTAACCCTACCCCTAACCCTACCCCTAACCCAACCCCTAACCCTAACCCTAACCTTACCCCTAACCAACACCCCTAACCCAAACCCTACCCAGCCCTACACGCAACAGCATGATGGACTACGCAACCCTTCAGGCAACCGTATGATGACTACGCAACACTACAAGCAACTGTATGATGACAACGCAACCCTTCAGGCAACCGTATGATGACTACGCAACCCTACAAGCAACCGTATGATGACAACGCAACCCTACACGCAACCGTATGATGACTACGCAACCCTAAACGCAACCTTACACGCAACCGTATGATGATAGGTAAGTATGTCATTTGTTTCGTGACTTTTCCCCGCATCCAACCCTCGTCCGGATCTGCAAGGAGAGCCGAGTTTTTGAGCTGAAATGCTATAGAAAGATTCTCAGAATGCCATGGACAAAGAAAATGAAACAAATAATGACATCCTATAATATCTGAACATCAAAAAAGATTGGCTCGTGAAACTGTATATCTTGTCTCTGAAACTTTAACATTTTTCAAGCGCCCTGACAGATTAGAAACAAAAAACAATAACAGAAGGCATGGAACCGGTAAGGGAGGTCAGGGGCCAACCATCATGAAGATTAGCACAGGATATAAATGATGCCTTGAATATGAAAGTGCATGAAGTAGGAGAACTGGCGAAAGACCGAGTGTCTTTCAGGCAGACCATGAGGAGAGCGACGTTCTGCAAAGGATATGCTACAAGATAATGATGATGACCTCAGTGGAAGTAACTGCTGTGAGATTACCTTTAACCTATGACTGCAAATGATAAACCTTTGAGACATATGCAGATATTCCAGCAGCATATTCCACATCTTTTGCTTGATATGATGAGACCATGGTGACCAGTTTTTGCTATGGTAACATAACAAATTGAAAATTCATAATAATTATGTTTTGTTAGTGTCTTCTGGGTGCTCTCATAACTCTTTCAGTATTGACACTTTTACAAATATTTATCAGTTCTACAAATAGGTATCACTACCACAAATAGGTATCACTACCATAAATAGGTATCAGTTCCACAAATGTGTAACACTGCTCATTTAATGTCAGAAAGAGGGTGATAAAATGTTACATAGAACCTGTTCTGCTGTATGGCAGTGAATCTTGTAATTTCAGTGAACAAATTTGGAAGAATTTGGAAGCAACAGAGATGTGGTTTAAGAGACGAATGTTACACATACCTTGGACGGCCAGAGTAACTAGCGATTGCTTGAAAGAAGCTAATGAAAGTAGATCTCTATATACAACAATAAGAAAGAGACAAACAGTGTTCTTTGCCAACATAATGAGAAGAGAGGCATTAAAGAACATCGTGACAACTGGAAAGATTTGTGAAAAAAAGGTTAGAGGCAGACCAAGAGAGATGATGCACGATGGGCTGAAACGATGGCATGGAGGGATATCATCAAGAGAGCTGTTCCAGGCAACCAGGGATCGTGATCTGTGGGGACAAATGAGCACTTATGCCAGTTGGCATGGCACGTGATGGTAATGATGACCTTGAATAGGTATCACACCACTGTCTCCTGTGCAATACTTTCGATATCAGTGATGCACTTCAGCCCAGAACCTTTGGCCTCTTTCAGTAACATTCATTTTAGGGTTTCTCTTGGAGGTCCTAATTTCCTCAACCCATCTGTTTGTTATTTCATTACCTGTTTAGTGATTCTCTGCCCACTTCTCAGGATGTGCCAATTTATTTGTCTTATAACTGTTGACACCCTTTGTTGTCCAGACATTTCTCTTGTTTCTTCATCTTTCTTGAAATCATCCAAGTTAAGCAGGTATCATTTCACAGAATTTAGTCACCTCACAAATTGGCATAATTTTTCATTGTCTTTTTGTGTCTTTATATGTCTGTTTCTCCATTCTGTGCTATCCTGTGCAGGCACTTCGATGTCGTGGATGGAATCCAGTCTAGCACCTTTGGCCTCTCTCATCAACATTCACTTTTTGGTTACTCTTGAACATCCTAATTTCCTCAATCCCTTCATTTCCCATTTTGTGTGTGTGTGTGTGTGGGAGGGGGGGGGGTGGGGGGGGGGCGTGCCCATGAATGTGCATGCATATTGTGCATAGTAGCCCCATTCCCAACAACCATCACCAGGTACTAGACCAAGCCACTTGATTTGGTGCGATTAACACTTCTTAGCCAACATATCTGGCACAAAGATACCAGACCACAGTTTTGGCTGGTACTACTCACAGTCGGTTGGATGTGGTTGTTCTTTTGATTTGTTCTTATAAATGGACGGAGGTGCCTATTTGGTGATTCTTCTTCTCTTTTCTCAGTGTTTCCAATATTGCTCTATCTTTTCTGTCTTCTAACTGTTGTTACTAGTGGTTGCCCAGACATCTCTCTTTTTCTTCAACATTCTTGAATTCGTCGCATTTTATGCTCATCTTTGTCTTCAGGCATTTGT